CACTCCATATAGTCCTTCACCACTACTCCCCTCCCCACTCCATAGTCCTTCACCACTACTCACCTCACCACTCCATAGTCCTTCACCACTACTCACCTCACCACTCCATAGTCCTTCACCACTACTCACCTCACCACTCCATAGTCCTTCACCACTACTCACCTCAACACTCCATATTTCTTTACTGAACTGATAGACATTCAATGACGATAAGACATGGATAATAGATAATAATGAAAATTAATTAAGAGAAGAATATCCAAGATCATCGGAACTTTGCCTTACATGTAATTAACCAAGTAAACCAACTTAAGATAAGCTACCTTACACCCATACACGTAGTTAACCCACTAAACCAACTAAAGATAATATATCTTACACCCATACACGTAGTTAACCCACTAAATCAACTTAAGATAATATATCTTACACCCATGCACGTAGTTAACCCACTAAACCAACTTAAGATAATATATCTTACACCCATGCACGTAGTTAACCCACTAAACCAACTTAAGATAAACTACCTTACACCCTTACATGTAGTTAACCCAGTAAGTCAACTAAAGATAAACTACCTAACACCCTTACATGTAGTTAACCCAGTAAATCAACTCAAGATAAGCTACCTTACACCCTTACACGTAGTTAACCCACTAAACCAACTCAAGATAAGCTAACTCATACCCTTACATAAACTTAAAATAAGACCCAAAACTCGAGCGCTTTTGAATAGTTGACTATTCTTCTTCAGGAGAACAAAGGGTCTTATTTTAAGTTTATCACACTTTATATGTGATCCTTTATGCTAACTCTTTTATCAAGATTCATACTCTTACATGTTATTAACCTAGTCAACAAACTAAAGATAAAGTACCTTACTTTTTTTACATCTAGTTATTTACCTTACATGTAACCCAGTAAATCAACTAAATATATCCTACATTACGCGATAAACAATGTACAGATATATTATTTTGTGGAAGATTAATGTCAATTTTATACATTACTTTCAAAAACATCTGATGTATAAATAAGTCAAGGACGGGCGAAGAGTAATCCTTTTATTTTTGGTAGTAAAGTTTTATAAAAATCCTAATAGGATGAAATGTTTTGAATTTTGATCCTTTGAATGAAACCGAAGCTCAGTGTCTGTAATCGGACAATATGTTTGTTTGTGGGGAATTTGTCACTTTTCTGGACCTTCATTTTTTGGTCATCTATTCTTCTGCTCTTCGGATCTTTATAATTAAACTTTATAAATCTTTATAAATTAATACAACAACTGGAAGTTCTGCATTGTCTATATCACACTTTAGCCCAGAAAAGGCCACCAATCACAGTAAGGGCCACCATTCACAGAACGGGCCACCAATCACAGTAAGGGCCACCATTTCACAGAAAGGCCACCAATCACAGTAAGGGCCACCATTCACAGAACGGGCCACCAATCACAGTAAGGGCCACCATTCACAGAACGGGCCACCAATCACAGTAAGGGCCACCATTCACAGAACGGGCCACCATTCACAGTAAGGGCCACCGATCACAGTGAGCCCCAATTTTAGGAAGCAAGTTTGAATTATTAGAAATTAAAAACGTATGAGTGAATTGTTTTAATATTTTCGGATTACACTTACATTGCATAGTTTTACGCAGAAATGCAAGCATATTGAGATTTATTTATAATTTCATCAACCACCTCACACTTAGATGATGTTGATATTTGCATAATTAACCTGGCATCGCTGTTTTGTGCCCAGTTCTCTTGCCTTAGAGCATTGCTACAAAAATAAATATTTTATCAGATAGTGTTTTCATGTTTATATGACGTCTATAAAGCCAAACACAGCACAGATACACATACAAAATAGAATTTAAATTTTTTTTTCCTTAATGGGTTAACATATATAAATATGTATGTATTTGGAGAGGCTTCAAATGCAGACATTTTTAAACATATTTATCAAAGTCATGTTTAGTCTAGGTGTTGCAATAACATATTGCACGAGGAAATGTGTAAGAAACTTTGAAATCGTTCCATCAGAATTTGCCATTGTTAATATACGTGTTTTTGGTAGTTTCTTGTATACGTGTAACGTTTTATTAAGTACCATAGTTTCCTGTTGCTGTTCTAAAAATGCAATGATCGACCGAAAATATTTCAGTTCTTGTTTTAACTGTAGTTAAACGTAATCAATATGTAACCTGCATTGTAAGGTGGTGTAAGGTCGCGTTTAATGTCACTGATAATGTGGTTTATTTTTTAAAAAACGCCCTGTTGCTGTTTGATAACTAACACGTTTTACTTAACAAAAAACATCCTGCCCTGTCTGATAACGTGATTTTTTAAAAATAAAGTCCTGTCACTCAATGAAAATATTGTTTATTTAACAAAAAATGCCTTTTCACTGTATAATAATATGGTTTACCTAACAAAAAAAACGCCCCTTTCTTTCTGATAACATGATTTATTTAAGAAAAAGCTTCCTGACGCTGTCTGATAACATAATTTATTAAAAAAAAAATCCTGTCATTGTCTGATAACACGATGTATTTAACAAAAACTCCTTGAAGCTGTCTGATAACATAATTTATTTAAAAGGAAAGTCCTGTCATTGTCTGATAACACGATGTATTTAACAAAAACTCCTTGAAGCTGTCTGATAACATAATTTAACAAAAAACACCCTGTCACTGTCTGATAACACGGATAATTTAACGAAAAAAGAACGCCCTGACACTGTCTGATAACATAATTTATTTAACAAAAAAAAAAAAGAAAAAAAAAACACCCTGTCGCTGTCTGACAACGTGGTATATTTAACAAAAATGACTTTTCTCTGCTTGATAATATGATTTATTTAAAATGTCCTAATGGTAATATGGAGCTGGAATTCTCTTATCTGATGAGTTGTAGTTTTTCTCGAAGTCTATTAATTTAGCTTTACTCTTTTGTAAATATTTAGTGGACTAGTTTTTGATCTTTTTATTAATTATGATTGCAGGAAGAAATGAACTTATTGCTAGGTATATTAAACTCCGAACTGGAAAAACGAGAACTCGAAAACAAGTGTCTAGTCACATGCAGGTGTTGGCACGGCGCAAGTCACGAGAGATACAGTCCAAACTAAAGGTACGTATAGTGCTGCCATCTATTGTTAGAATTAATAAATGAGTTCGAAAACCACATGTACACATTGTACTTTTTTCTTTCATTTTTACTAAGACCTTGAGACGTGTATATTACGTATAACACATACTGATTACTGCAGAATGTTTCTCTATATCACATCAATGGTGGGAGGAAAACCACACCAATAAACAAGTATTTTCAACATACTGTTTGAAACAAGAAACTCCTGAAACATGATATCAAACCAGAATAACTCTTAACAACGTATTATAGTGATATAAAGTGGGCGCGGGTAAAACTCTTCTATAATTCAGAGCTAGTTAGCCTGGTTCAAATCTGTGCGACACAACAAAATATCCTTCCCATTTTATAAGTTGTGGATTTTGTTAGAAGAATGACAATCAATCCTAAGTGGTGGATTTGGAATGCTACTGACTAGCTACTTTTCCTCTGGTCAGTAGTTCAAAATTAGGCTGGAAGTCTGAAACTGGCTGTCCAAAACTATTTTATAAGACGTTTTACAAACTTATTTTTTAAAATGAAATCATTAAACTTATCATTTTAAAGAACCTGGGCTAGGCATGGACTAGCAGTATAATGTGGTGAGCTGCGAATCATAGGGACTGGGGTTCGAGATCGTGAAGCAGTTCAACGCCCTCGTACTTTTTAGCTCAGGTTATAATCTCAAGTTAACGAGGACTTTTCACCTGTGTTTTCGTTTTCGGTTCAATCATGAAGTTCCTTATATTCAAATTAAATTATAATTACCGTCTTTATAACATAATATTGGTTACACCGATGGGCTGTTAAAGTTATATTAGTGGTTTTCAAAGCTTTAAGAATTAAACACTTCCACACAGTAAAACTTTGAATTTGCCTCGGACACCTAGAACATGACGATTGTATAACCTTTTGTTTGTAGCTTTGAACCTATCAGATAAAAACTATATGATGTATTGATTTTCTTCTTTTATGCAAAATGCAACTGCCAAGCGACTAGAAGAACATTAACTAGTTTTGTGAACACGAAACATTAATCATGTCACTCCGGGGTCTTAGGACTTACTGAAAACCAGTACATCTGTCCCCTAGCAACATCGAATGTAAAGCAAATGTATACATACAATGTTTGTTGTTAAGCAGAAAGCTGGATAATGGGCTGTTTGGGGTTGTGTTCAGCGTAGGGATCGAACCCCGAATTTAAGTGTTATGAAGCTCCAAGCTTATCGTTGAATTAGCGGTTGGGGGGACAGCCTATAATGTATAAAAATAGTTATTTTCTCTTGTCTAGATAGGACCAGCCTCGCATGAGTGAATGTTTATCGCTGTTAACTATTTAACTGTAGAGTTAAATTTAATTTTATTCAATTTAATTTTTGAAGGTGAGGTTTAATGATATAGTTACTACTTTCTTCCTACAATTCATCGATTAACTAAGTTGTTAGGCCTAGAGTTGTAAGTTGTTATATATATTTGTGAATGGGGCCGAGCGTAGCCTAGTGGTTAACCGAGCTGCTTGTCGACAGGTCCCACGTTCGAGCCTTGATATGCTATTGAACATACTCCACACTTTCGACGGCAAAGGCATTGTAACTGCGTCAGTTAATCTCGCTATTCATTTAAAAGTAGCAACTTAGGCAGCAGGTCCAGCTTGTTGCCTTCCCTCTGATCAGAAATTCTAAGTTATGGTCGGTTATGTCTGGACCTCGGGAGTCTCTGAAAGTAAAAAAAATATAGCGATTAAATGCATTTACATAACCACAATTTAAACTGTGAATTATATCGAGATGAAAATTAATGTCTAAAGAACTAATTCGAGCACTAACGAGAGACAGAGGAAAACTAACTACATAAAAATAAAAACTTGGTTACATCCGGGATCACTTATAGTTACTTTTTTATAAGCATTCTGATTTACTGAATTACAAAATTGAATTACTATGCACTGCTGCCATCTTTTGATAAAAATAATTAACAACAACCCGTAAAAATACTTTGAAAAGTGTACTGTCAGGTTTAAATGGTACTTTTATAACTTTTCGTATATAATTCATTGTGATGGCTCTGCATGCTCAGTCATGTTCTGTATTTTTATTACATGATCTGTAAATAAGACGTACAGGATTGTATTTTGATCACTCAAACTCTTACGTATGCATTTTTATTGCTTTGTCCCATAACATTTTTTATTCATTACGCATTTTAACGACGTTTGTTTTTATTTTGTTCAAAGTACATATTTCAAAACAATACGCTATTTTCAGTTACCATTAATAACAGTACATTTTTCTCTTCATTAAGCGATATTATAATTATTATGAATTTTTTTAGTCTAAATGGTATAATTTATGACAAAATTATGTAGGAAAAGGTGAAAATAAACATCACCCATATTATGAAATTATAATTATTTCACTTAGCCAATGGTTGACTAGTAACAAATTGAAACACAGTATTTACACCAACAGTATATGATACAGAACCAAAGGCGATAATTATAATTTAGTACACAAAACTTTCAACAGATGGCGAAAGTATTGCTTTGTAAACGTATATCCTGTTCCAAATAAGCAGTACAATCATTCTAATTTTATTGAATCTACAGGAACATACTACAAAAGAAGCAGCGCTTCAGTCGATGTCCTCGATGTCTTCTGCTCAGATCGTTTCTTTATTCTACAACCAAGATCATGCTGTCAAAGAGAAAGCTTTACAGTCACTCAGTTCCCTGTCCTCAGCCCAGATAGTGTCTTCTTCTGCCATACCAAATAAAGCCCTCTCATTGGTCACAACTCCCATCAACTACACAGGCACACCTGTAAGTTTCTTGTTTGTCGATATGCATAAATCTTGTTTTTAGTTTATATTCGTGTCATAGTGATTTCTCCCGTGAAGAGCAGAGCTTGAAATATGTATTTCTTAATATTTTCACAAATTTTCCAAAAGATGTTTAATCAAAACTGTTCGAAGCTATCAACTTTAAAAATATTAAAAAATTAACTTGACGTTTTTTGTTTTACTATCTCAATACTGGAAGTCATATATCAGAAGTTATATGAAAAACCATTTGGCAAGAAAAGTATTTTATAGCCAGCTTTTTAAACATCTGCTTAAAATAACAACAACAAAAAAACGGTCAAACTTGTCATCAGAAGTAAATAAAAAATAACAAACTAAATTTAATAGCGATAAACATTGCAGAAAAATGATTAACACATTGCTTATCTTTCGAAAAATGTCTCCAGGTGGGCCAGCGGTAAGTTTAGAAACTTACAAAACTAAAATCCAAGGTTCGATTCCCCTCAGTGTATAAAGTTCAGATAGCCCGTTGTGTAGCTTTGTACTAATAACACAACCTTCGAAACATAAGTACTGTATTATAGATAGATGTTTGAAATAAACTTTCCATAATTGATGATTGGGCCTAACAAAGGCACATCTTCAAACCTGGAGTTTGTACTATCACCTTAAATCTAAACTTAGAAAATAAAGAAACAGGTTTATGAAGTGTTAACATGTATGTTAATATGGTATATAACAAAGTACACAAGGCTCTTGTTAGCGTTAAATAACTTGCAACATAATTAGGTGGAAAAGGTAAGCATCAGTAGGCCTTAAAAATGTATTTCAAATCTGAACAAAACTATATTTTACGAACAAATATACATCAAAAATGATAAAGAATGTTCACGTGATGTAAAATCTGAAGACAAAACATTAACTGTAAAGAAGTCTTTAAAGGTGATAACAAATTAATCTGTTATTGTCATCGTTTAGAACCGGGATACGAATCGAAATTTAAGAATTATTATTGAATCCGTCAGACCTCAACAATAAGTCTGAGGGCTTGTGACTCTAAAATTCGGGTTTCAACACCCGCGATGGCTAGAGCCGGAACTAGCCTGTAGGCCCGGGCCCCAAGCCAATTCATTCCAATTTTAGATTTGGCCCCATTATATGTCTCATTGCCCCCTCCCTCAAATATCAGCAAACAACAAACGAACAAACTTTTCAATGAAGAAAACAACCACAGCAGAAAGGGTTTTGAGGGAGAACAAACAAAAACAAAAATATATTCCACAAATGAGATATCATCGCCCTTCATGGGATTTCTTTACCTATTCACAGACTACTTTAGTACACAAGAATCCGGCTGTTTTTTTTGTTTTTTTTACAGAATTAAATTCACTATGCTCGAATTTTATTCATCAAATTGATTAAATTGTCGCATAATATATTTCATTTATAAAATATAACAATACGTCTAAAATTTAATAGCCAAAACATGAAATTTGAAAAACAAGTATAGGGAAATACAATTTTGTGGGAATATTTCTTTATATTTGAAACACTGATAAAGGCCCCCCCAGTGGCACAGCAGTATGTCTGCGGACTTATAACGCTTGAAAGCGGGTTTCAATACACGTGGTGAGCAGAGCACAGACAGCACGTTGTGTATCTTTGTGCTTAATTCAAAAAAAAACAAAAACACTGATAAAGTTTTAAAGAAATAGTGACCCCCAGTGGAACGGCAGTATGTCTGCGGACTTACAACGCTAGAATCCGATACTCGTGGTGGACAGAGCACAGATAGCCCATTGTGTAGCTTTGTGCTTAATTACAAACAAACAAAGAAGTAGTGTGTCAAATAATGATAATTATACACCTGGAAAAAAGTTAAGCACCCCCAAATATTTTTCAGGATTGCTTGTTGAAAATAAGGTTTAA